GAGTCCCTATCTCTTCCAGGCCAGTTGGAAAAAACTTCAGAACAGCTGGGCTGAATCTTCTTCATCACTTACATGCCCAAGATTCAAAGCAAATGGAAAATGTTCAAAACCATATTCTTGGCTTCCCACCCACTTTTACTTCTTCCTTCCAGAGCCTTCCCAACTTCTAAGTGGCAAGTCCATTATCTCAGCTGACCAGGCCAAAACTCTTGGAGTCCTTTTTGACTCCTCTCTTTCTTTCACATCCAATTGATCAGGGAATCCTTTTGACTCTAATTTGAAAATATATCCAGAATCTGGCCACTTGTCATCGCTTCCACTGGTCTGAGCCCATCATCTGTCACCTGGGTTATTGCAGTAGCTTCCTAACTGGTCTCCTTGCTTCTGCCCTTACCTCCCACAGTGGTCAGAGTGAGCCCTCTAAATTAGAAGTATGATACGTTACCTTCCTTCTAAAACTCACCATTGGGTTCTCATTCACTTCATCTAAAATTCAAAGTGCTCACAATGGTTCGCAAAGCCCCACCCCGTCTGGCCCTGGTTTCCACCCTAACCTCCTTCCCTCTTCCTTTCTCCCTCATCATTCAGTTCCAGCCTCATCGGCCTCCTTGCTCTCTCTCAGTGCACCAAGCAAGCTCCCACCTTCATTCATGCCTGTCCCACAGCTGTCCCCTCTCCTGGGATCCTCTTCCTCCAACATCTGCATGGCATGCACCCTCACCTCTTTCAGAGGCTACCTACACGAAGCCCCCACCATCATCGTATTTAAAATAGCACCCACCCTCTGACCCCACCCTCCACTCCACAGTGCTCTCTAGCACCCTTGCCTGCTCTGTTTCCCTCCACTGCCCTTATCATCACCAACCGACCAAAGATCTGACCCAGGTCATTTGTGTGTGGCCCTCCTCCCTCTCCTAGAATGTAAGCTCTGTGACAGCAAGAACTTTTCACTGGTTTTTGTTTTCCACACTGTTATGTTTCAGTTCTCAGAAAAGTACCTGACTGATTCACAATATATACTCAATAAATATCAGTGAATGAATGAATGATGACCATCTGGATACTAAATATCCATTCACAGAGATTGAATACCATGCAACACTCAAGAATAACAAAGAATCTGCAAAACACTACATAATGTGGATGAACTTGGAGGACGTTATGCTGAGTGAAATAAGTCAATCACAGACGAACAAATATTGTATGAGTTCACTAGTGTACAAAGTCAAGGAAAGGTTTATATATGGAAGGAAGCTTTCTTTGTCAGTTACCAGGGATGGGAGAGGAGGGGAGGAAACACTGCAAAAATTAAAAATAAATAAATAAAATACATATCCATCCAAGGAGATTAAGAACACCTGAGAAGGGGCATATTTACAGGGGACCTGTAAGCAACATTCTGATAAATGGAGAAAAGGTTATAAAGTCGTCAAGGATTTCCTTTTCTTTGGATCCACATTCAACACCCCTGAAAGCAGCAGTCAAGAAATCAAATGATGTATTGCACTGGGCACATCTGCTACAAAAGACTTCTTTAAAGTGTGAAAGAGCAAAGGTGTCACTTTGAAGACTAAGGTGTGCCTGACCCGAGCCAGGGTATTTTCCATCACCTCATATGCATGCAAAAGCAGGGCAGTGAACAAGGAAGACTGAAGAGGAATTGATGCCTTTGAATTATGATGTTGCCAAAGAATATTGAAAATACCACGGGCTGCCAGAGAACAAACAAATCTGTCCTGGAGGAAGGGCCGCTGCAATGGCCTTTCAAAGCGACAGTGGCCAGAGTTGGTCCCCCTACTTTGGTCGTGCTGTCAGAAGGGACCAGTCCCTGGAGAAGGACGTCATGCTCGATAAATAGAGGGTCAGCGGAAGGGAGGAAGGCTTTCCGTGAGAAGGACTGACACAGGGCTGCACCCACAGGTCAAGCATCAGGAGTGAGAGAACGGGCCAGCACGGGCAGTGCTTTGTTCTGCTGGACACAGAGGTGCTACGAGTTGCAGCCTACTCAATGGCACCTAACAGCAGCAGGAGGAGCTTGCGATATCACACCACCCATAAAGCCAGAAAGAGTTGTCCGTGGGCCTTTGTAACCGTGTGACAGGCACTGGGAGGAGTGCAGGAGAACGTGTATTCATGGAGACAGCCTAGGCTTTGCCGAACTAATATAAACAGATCCTCACATCTCAGCAGCTTGGCTTTGAGTTCACACAAGGTGAGATGCAGGTCAGCACCCCCTCCTCCATTTGAGCACTACCTTTCCTCCATCTTTGACGGAGTCACCAGGGTAAGGAAAGAGAGAACTTGTGGATCGTGCGCTAGGGCTTAAGTGAGTGTCACATCCTTCAAATGGGCCAGTGCAAAAGGCTATCTCTAGTAATAGATTAAATGCCTTATTATGAATTATTGCTATGACCACAGGTGTAGAGTATATTGATATCTTAAAACTATCTCAGAGAAAATCCTGTGGTCCAGTCAAATTGAAACTAGGGGAGCAGCAGACAGAATACGACTAAGGGTACACAAGGGTACAATCATTAGGAGCCAAGATGAGTGGTGGAAGCAAAAAGGAATTGAGAAACAGTGCAAGGGCCTCTGCCACCCAGGAGAGCTCTGGGAGTCACTGGAGAATGTAGCCCTTCTCCTTGGGGACTGCACATATGGCCACCCAGGTGGGCCTCACCCAACTCCAGGGGCTACAGTCACCATCTGCACGGAACCTCTGTTCCTCTCTCTCTCTCTCTCTCTCTCTCTCTCACACACACACACACACACACACACACACCCGGAAACAGGAGCAGGCCAGGGGGTGCCCAGAAGCCAGCCCTCAGCTACCCCACGGAGGGGCAGAGGAGCTAGTGGCAGCTAGACGTAAGGTCTATCCATTTGGATACGAAAATCTCCTCCCTCAGAAGGGTCTCTGCTCCCTGTTCCTCCCCCGTTTCACTGAGCTTCTGACGAAGGTTCTTTCCGTAAATGTCAGCCTGGCTTGCCTGTATTAGAAGAAACAATTAGGTAAATAGAAAAGGCTCATTCGCCAATTGGACCAAGAGAGCTGAGGACCCCTGCTGGCTAGAAGTGGCAGTGGCAGCAGCCCTTCCGCATGGACATGCTGAGCAACCCGACGGGGCTGAGGAAGAGCAGGGTGAAGCCCCAGAGCCAGGAACCTGGGACGGACAAGGATCCCTTCTGTCAAGGTTGTTCCGTTAGGAAGCAGGCCTCTTATCACCTCTATATTTAAAATGAGGAAACTGAGGTGCAGAGACTGTGACACGTTGAGGTCGCTGGTGGGGAGTTCCAACATAGATTTTCAGATTCATAGTGAAATATCCTTTTTAGTACACTATGTTACAACCCAGTCTGAGGATGAAAGAGGACTGGGCAATGTTTCATTTTGTTATGCACAAGCTCACCATGACTTGGACCCTGCAACTAACAACAACAACAACATGCTACAACCAGTCCCTGGGATACACACCTGAGAGTTAAGGGTACTCCTGGGGCAGGAGTCCCTATCCTGCCCTTCCATGGTAAGGGAGGGAGATAGTTTCAGAAGACACTAGGAGCTCTGGTGGCGTAGTGCCTAAGGCACTTGACTACTAACCAGAAGGCTGGCGGTTCAAACCCACCAGCCACTCTTCAGAAGGAAGGTTGGACAACTACTTCCATAGTGATACCGCCTCGGAAACCCAAGGAGCAGTCGCTATGAGCCAAATCTGACTGGATGGCAGTGAATTTGGTTTGGTTTGGATGGTAAAGGGCAGGTTTCCACAGGCTTTGGGCAGAAAGCCGTGACCTAAACAAATTGTGAGTATGCCACGAAAGCGAAGAGGAAATCCCACAAACTCAGAACCAAAACTTGGTGACACTTGGTCAAAATCGTTAATGACATATCTCATGCCACAAATGAAGGCAAGCCAATTTCTCTACTGTTGGGCAGTTTTCTGATTGGCTTGGGGTTAGGCAGTAGAGGCTTTCCTATTTCCTCAATATCTTCTCTTGGAGGAAAAATAAATAAAGTTTTCTGTTAGCGGTGGGAGGATCCAGAGGGGCCTATAAGAATGTTTGTCCTTCAAGTAGAGTGCATGCCGGATTTTGAGCAAAAACGCTTGACATTCTTCTTAGACGACTTTATAGGCAGCTGCTTTCAGCTTAGGTTGTCATCAGGGAATTTCAGAGGGGCAGGAGACCCCAGAAACATCGATTTGAATTCCTCCAGGGGGTAGAGTTCTCTCTGATGCCACCTTGACAGGTAGCCATCCAGTCACTGCATGAACAGCCAAGTAACGAGGAAGGAACTCACTCCCTGAAAAAACTGCCCATTGCGTTTTTAGCTTGGTTTGTTACAAATATCAACTCTTGCAGGAATACTGCTCCAGTCAAGCTAGTTCAGGAAATAAGTGCATATGGTCAAGCCAGAAGGGTATAATAAGACACCCTAGGAACCACAGAACTGCTCATTTTATATCCTTTTCCTTAGGAGCAGTGTGAAAGTTGTGTGTGTGTGTGGGGGGGAGTAAACAGGAAGAAACATTTCTACCAAGATTCGCTTTCGTCCTGTTTCTCATTGAAAGCCACAAATAAGCACATTTCTCCAGCCTTGGAGCTCAGTGGAAACTACCACTTCAGACCCTGAATTCTGGGCCTATGGCCTTGAGTGCGTGGAAAGACGACTGGAAAGGACTCCCAGGCCTCGAGTTCCTCTACAACATCCCCTTTGAATAAATGTATTCTCCTAGTGAGGAAGGAAATGGGGAACATTTCTATGAATTAGTCTTTCATGGGAAGTTGAAGTACAAAGCATTCGGAGCCAGAATCTCACTCCCATCCACTCGTTTCAACCTCTCCTACTCCTGCTTCAGGTCAGGATCTCATTACTCCTAACTTGGACTGTTATCATAGTCTTCTTCGTCTCTGGTTTTCCGCACTTTCACCATGATGTGTCTCTAAATGGATTTCTTTCTATTTATCCTGCCTAGGATTCATTGGGCTTCTTGAATGTAATGATTAATGTTTTTCATCTGTTCTGGAAATTTTTCAACCATCATCTTTTCCTTTTCTATCTACTCTCCTTATGAGTCTTCAATTAAATATGTGTTAAATTTTTCTTATTCTGTTTATTGTGGCTCTTATCCTTCCTTTTCTTTTCTTTTTTTTCCCCCAATGTAATCTGTTTATTCTGGCAGAATTCTGAACAATTTCTTGTGACCTGTCTTCCAATTCGATAAGTGTCTCTTCAGCTGTGTTTGGCCAACTTCCATTGTTCTTTGTTTTAGTTCTAGAAACTCTTTTTGATTCTTTCTCAAATTGGCTTTCACTATTTATTGTTTTCTGTTCCCTGCAAATGTTTTTAAGATTAGCTTTAGTTTTTTTGAAGTACAGTATCCCATAATCATTACAAACCAAAAAATTTGCCGCCATCAAGTCGATTCCAGCTCATAGCAACCTTCACTGGGCTTCTGAGGCTGTAAATCTTTACAGAAGTAGACCGCCCCATCTTCCTTCCATGGAGTGGCTGGTGGGTTTGAACCACTGACCTTTGAGTTAGCAGCTAAATGCCTAATCCACTATGCCACTGAAGCTCTTTATCATCATTATAATCTGTGTTGTAATTCTGATATCTGAAGCCATTGCAAGTTCATTTCTATTATCTATATTTTTCTGTTCGCTGTCACCAACAATGTAATTTTTTCCTTGTATGCCTAGCTACCTTTGACTACGTACCAATACATTATTAAAAAATTATTTGTAAGAATGACTTCAGGCCTAGTATGACAGTACCTTCTTCAGAGAGCATTTTTGTTTGCTTCTGACAAATGACTATGGATGCTACCTTTCCAAGATTGCTTTAATACAAGTTCAGGGTTTGAGGTCCCTTGGACTACCCAGATGATGCATTTTAGGCCAGGGCAGCTTACTTCTGGTTAACCATTATCCTGAAGGACTAGCCACTCAAGGTCTCACGGGGCAGAAGGGCTTATCATATCCCCTACTCATTTGAGCCTTGGGCTTCAAGTTTTTTTCCTCTTGTCCTGGGGCCACCAAAGCCACAGTTCAGTTTTTGCAATCTTTCTTCCAAATTCAGCAAATGTCCTCAGAGCAAAAGTGACCTTCCCTCTCTGGGTTATTGTCTTCTTTTAGATAGTAGCCTCATTATTTCTTAGCTCTTTATAAAGGTGATTTCTTTTTATATTTCTGCCAGTTTGTTTGGCTGTCCTCGTTGGGACAGTTAGTTCAAAACACCCAGCTTGCCTTCACCAGAAGCAGAGTTGCACAATCCCCTCCTAACTGTTCTCCTGGTCCTCAGCCTCTCTTGCCTCCTATTCCTCCCTCCCACTGGAACCAAAAGATTCTTCTCCCTGAAACACCACTATGGTTGTGTCATTCCCTTGCACAAATTCTCTAAAAGCTTACTGTGGAGTCAGAAATAAAAATCAAGTCCTTAAAAAAGGACCAGGTTTAATTGTCTGATTAAAAAAAAACAAAACAAAACTCAGTGCCATTGAATCGATTCAGACTCATAGTGACCCCTCCTCGGGTTTCTGATGCAGTGCTCTTCTTACAATGATCAATGATCAATCGCTCAATCGTGGGAGACCAGAAGGGCAGTGTTTGCACAGAGAGATAGCTCAGCAGGCAGGAATGCCTAGGAAAGAAGGACACTGGGAAGACTAACTACAAGGAGGCAGTGGGAAGAGAGCTGTTACATTGGGGGGATTTCTGTTAATGTCATGAAACAAAATGTGTGTGAACTGCTGTATGGAAAATCAATTTCCTCTGTAAACTTTCATCCAAATCACAGTAAAAACGAAAAAAAAAAAAAAAAATGAAGTCCTTATTTTGGAAAATCAGGTCCAAAACTCTTTCTTGCCTCATTGATTCATCCGCCAAGTATTCCCTGTGCACCGAGTGTGGGACCCTCCCTAGGCCAGGCCCTGCCTCATGTTCTTCCCTCTTACCTCTCTTCTAAAGTCCCCATCCACCTTCGACTACACCAAACTAGGACATTCACTGTGGCAGAGAGCTGGATCCAGAACCGAGGTGGGCTAACCCTGGGTCAGTGCTCTTTCCCCTACACCCTGACCCACAATCTGGATAGTTATGGATATCCTAATAAATTAACTAGATAGACAAAAGCTCAACAAGTACAAATGAGAGTGGCATTTTTGTACGTCTTGTTGCCTTGGAGGCTATTTGTCATGTGAGTCAGAAATTTCAAATACACATTACCTCCAGGGGGAGCAGCAGCAGGGGAGGGCCCTCTGGGACCCAAGCTCTGGACACGAATCGCTCATGGCCGCCAACTTCTTGGCAATCTTCACAGTCACAAAGGCACCTAGGAACACAACTTTCCCCCACAAATGAGGGACTGATTGCCTGTGGAATTTGATTCCAAGGTGCTGGGAACAACCCACATCCAAACAAATCTACTCCCACCTGCTGGCAGTTGCTTGAAATTCCAGTCAAAGCCAACTTAGACTGAAAAAACACGCTGTTCTGGAAATAAGCTACCTGGAAATAAAGAAGGTTCTAGTTTTGGCCTTTCCCAGTCTGTGACCTTTTCTTCTCTGGGCCTCCGTTTCTCCAGGTGTACAATCCATGTGCTTGGAAAAGGGGACCTAGAATGGCCCTTCCATCTTTGATAAGCAATGATTGTCTCTACAAGCATGCCTGGGTGAGCACGGACAATGGGCCAGCACTCAGAGCAGTACGTGTGGGTTTGATGGACCCATTCCTATATGTGCTGGTCAATATGGACTCCACCACCCTTTGGATTTTGCACCCATGTGGGAAGGAGAGGGGGAAGAGAGAAGGGAAAGACGGGAGGGGAGTGTTCTGCTTGTTAGAAGAAGGCAGAGAACTGGAGACACATCTGTAAGTTTGATTTGTAAATAACAAAATGGCGGGGAAAAGACCCCTTGGCTGTGCAAAACACTCAGCTCACCCCAGGAGATCCAGGCAAGGGAAATTTGGCAGTACGCTGGGTACAAGCAGCCCCGACTCATTTGACCAAATACTGAGGGAAAGAGGAAGGGGGTGTGTTTCTGCTTGAAGTTTCTAGTTAAGGGAGAGCAGCCTGCAATCCATTTGCATTGCAGCCTTTCTCAGCGGCAGGCCTTGGGAGGCACAGTGCCGGTGAACCTGCCGGAGGGCTGTTTGTTGGAAGCCCATTTGCCTTCTGGGCTCTGAGGGGTGGGCCTCTTTGTCAGGACCTAGGATGGCAAGGAGGAGTTCTGCCGGTGCAGAGGTTAAGGCATTCGGCCGCTAAGCAAAAGGTCCCACCAGCTGCTCCAGGAGAGTAAAACAAGACAGTGAGCTTCTGTAAAGACTGGCAGCATTGGCAACCCGTGGGGCAGTTCTACTCACTGTGCCCTGTAGGAGTCAAAGTCAACTCGATGGCAACGGTTTTGCTTTGGGGTGAGAACGATGGGCTTCACGCACTTCCTCATCCTCTGAGAATAGGGGCACCGTGGGTCACCTGCCAGGGGGGCAGAAAGCAGCACTGGCATGGCCTCTCCAGGGGCTAACACCATGGAAACTCCCAAGCACTGTCCTTTGCTTTCCTTTCGCCTTCTGTGGTAGCCCGGGACGCTCTTTTCACTCTGTCTCCCCTAGCTATGGACGCGGCCCACCTCATGTGGACCCCAGTTGGTGAAGCTCCCCTTTCAGTTGCCTGCACTGGCACTGGGGACCCGAACTTGCGGTCAAGGCCTCTGTCCTGAGGGAGTGGACGCCTGCTGTGGCCTGAGCCTGTCCTAAAACCCACTGGAGCTCTCCGTTGCCCGCACCCCCACGCGAGGCACGTCTGGAGGGTCAAGGTGTTTCAGAATGCAGAATGCGCCGGGGACACTCCAACTCCCGCACTCCCTTCACCTCAGAAAGCCGGAAAAACTATCAGGCCCTCCGTTGGGCCCTCGCTGGGGCCAGGAGACTTGCCCTCGAGTAGCCCAGTGGAAAAGGTACTTGACTGCTAACTGGGCGGTCAGTGGTTCAAACCCACCAGCTGCTCCGCAAAGGAAGACAGGGGGATCTACTTCCGGAAAGATTCACCGCCTCGGAAACCCAGTGGGGGTCGCTATGAGTCCGAATGCACTCGATGGCTGTGGCGTTGGGTTTTGGTTTTTGTTGGTTTTTTTTTTTTTTTGGTGGGG